AGGGAAGCAGAACTTTCTATGCAATTCTTTATTCAGTTTATAATTACCTCTCTACTTTAGTGAGTTCTCAAAGCGATTAACAAAATTAAAACAAAAACAAAGCAAAATCTCCTCAAAGTTTTGAGTACAAATTAAACCATACTGCACCAGAGAAGAAGAACCTATGCAGAGATTGTTTAAATCCTAGCCTTATTTCTAGATCAGTTATCAAAATCAATAATCATGAATGTCTTCCATCAACACACAATATCCTTAAGTAGTTGCTTCCTTCAGTGCCTCTCTAGAGAGAAGAAGGAGTTGTAGAATTTCTTTATTAGAGAAACAATTGTTATAAGTGATTTCTGAAAATATGTGGCATGTCTTAGACAAAGTAGCACATTAAACAATACAAGATACTCTTTATGATACTACAAACATTTTAACATTATTTAAATCATTTTAATCTTAATACCCCATATTCACAGTAAATACAGAAATATTAATACAAAAAATAGAATATTAATCGAATAAATTAATGCTGTGTCACTATTATATATTGAAAGGAGGGGGGAGCAGAAATCCTACCAAGAATTCCATTACTATGATGAAGGCCAGTTGTACTTTCTCCTTCCTGATATTAACTAAAACAGCAAGTTGCATTAAGGCATTCTTAATTACATTTAGGATTTTAGTGCTGTCATGGTGAAGTTCTTTGTTGATCAGTACAGAGTATTTTAGGATTTCTTGACATTCAGCCCAGATGTTTTCCTTCATTGCACGACACACATGGCTTGCCATTAATTAATTGTTTAATTATCTTTAGCATAATGTTAACTTCTGCTTTGTTTTTTTTTTTTAATTGCAGAATGTAGCAAAACCTCCTCTTTTTCTGCCTCTTTGATGCTGTGGAAAACAGCTGGGTCAGTTCCATGTGACTGCAAGCAATTAAGAGCATATCAAAACACATCAGTTAATGTCAAGGAAGAAGCTTGGAACTGGAACACCCTATTCTCTCTTAGATTCATATCTAAACTGCCCTACATTCTAATTTGGGAGTAGGATGAATTAGCTTTTTGTACCCACACTGAGACTTTCATTTTAAATGCAAAGGACTGTAGCTGACTAATGTACAGAGAAAGGCATGTTATTAGTACCATCCATTTTGTTGTAGTTTATATTGATGATTGGCATTAAAGTAGCAAGACATTTATGGTATCAAAATTAGGATACCACATCTGGATTGCCCACACTGGGATTAATGTTGCTAGATGGCAGCAAAGAGATACAAAAACTAGCCCTTTGCTCATGGTTCGTTGGCTTTTTGCAGTTTGGATATGGTAGCCTTAATAACATTGTTCTAAAATAATTATTTCTTTCCTCTTATAAATCTAGATGCTCTATTAATGTTAACATTCCATTTATCCAATAATCTATAAGGAAAAGACAACTAAGTTTAAAAAAATATAAAAACACACAACATTCTATCCCAATCTTCCGCAATCTTGCCAATTTCCAGATGTGTGGACTTAAATTCTTAGAATTCCTCAGCCAGTAGGGGCTGATATTCTGGGAACTGAGGTTCACACATCTGGAAGTTGCCATGGTTGGGAAACATTGAATTACCCTAGTTCTCTGAGTTTGGCTACTCTTTTAAAAAAGTGGGATGGCAGGTTAATCAAAATAGAACTATGTTATTACAAATCAAAAATAATCAGCCTTTATTGATGTAACCTAAATAAACATTCCTTCTCCTCAAGTGCTTCAGAAGTGTTGGGACTGCAAATCCTAGTATTCACAGCTAGCATGAATTTGATCTAAATTAAGGGTTGAACAATTTGTGGCTTTCTCAATATTGTTAAACTGCATCATCCATCAACATTATATAGCTGGGATTATAGGAATTGTAATCCAAAACATCTGGAAATTATGTTGGAAACACTGACTAACAAGCAGCTGCCATATACACTATTTCAAACCACTGGTTCATTTTACTAGTACGGTCAGGTTTTGACAAACAGATAGATGCATTTTATGGCAATGTTTCTCAACCTCAGCAACATTAAGATGTGTGGACTTCAACTCCCAGAATTTCCCCAGTCAGCATGCTGGCTGGGGGAATTCTGGGAGTTGAAGTCCACACATCTTAACGTTGCTGAGGTTGAGAAACACTGCTGTACTCAGACCTGAGTAGAACTCATTATGGAGATTATTTTGGTATGTAAATATCACCTGGTTTTAAAGAGCTGCCCTTTGTCCAGAATGCTGGTGAAGGTGGGACAGCTATTTATAATTTCCAAACCTCATTTTGCTTTGCAAAGATTGAAAGGAAATGGGCTTATTGTTGTTCTTATTTTCAGGTTTTGACCAATCTCCTGATGTAGAGGATATTTAATAAACTGAGGTTTTGCTGCTGTCTTTGCTTACCTGGAAGTGTGTTATTTAGAAATCACTATTAGAATGGATTTGTGTCAGTACATGTGATCAGGTGATTTTGAATATTACCTTCTGTTTGCAAGTGGAACCAAGACTAAAATTTCCCTTATACATTGGCCAAAATTGAAAAGTTATACTATAAAACAATGAATCAGTTGAAGTGCTTTATCCAAACAATGACATGTAATGTACTTGCAATACATGATACACGGGATCAATTAATTGAAATTCATCAGGGGCTACTCCCAGTTCAATTCCTCCCACTTTATTCACCTTGCCCATTTTTCCTTGAGGCCACTTCTGAATCAGTCTTACAAGCAGCATGTTCACGCTACCAGTAGAGCAATAGTAGAAATGGGCTGTAACTGTCCTATGGAGTCCTTGGGGTTCTCTGAGCTTGGTTCTTTTCTTGCAAATGTTTCATTAACCCTTACCAGCACTGGCAAGGCAGGCCACAGCACATAAACAGAGAGCAAACCCCTCCCCATTTAAGCATTGAAGATTTTCCCTAGCCGGGTAAGGAAATGTTTGCAAGAAAAGAA